ATTACATTTATTTTGAAGAAAATAAATTATTTAAAATAGTGCATTTTTCAAAATGCCAAGTTATTGGCCAGATTCTGGTACTGTTGACAAATTAACATCTCAGTTTTTTGCAAACATTCCATATATAAGGCTTTATACTTCCTTAGTGCCTTTTCCACCCAATAGTTGCTCACTCACACAATGAGACGCAGGATTACATTAGGTTCTCAGTACTATGGTAGATGTGCAGAAGAGAGGGCAAGTGAAGGTCATGGCCTTTATCTTTAGAGCATCTGGGAGAAAAGCAAGAGGTGTGTTATTTATACAGCAATATAAGGTAAGTACCACAGGAATGAAGAGAAAAGAGGGCACTATGGACAGGAATAGTTGGGGCAGGCTTCAGGGAAAGGGAGGAATTGAACTGGGTCCTGGGGATGGGTAGAGTACATGAGGCAGGAGATGCCAGATGATAAAAATGAAGCAACTGTAACAACTAAGTGATATATACAAATCACTATCTGCAGGGAACCACGAGTGTGTGGCCTAGAAACAGCCAGTTTCATAGTGATGATGACAAATAGGTCCCATCTGACTTGTTAATTTAAATTCTTATAGGGCAGTGTGGAGAAAGATCAATATTATTATTGATAATAATGATTATCAATTATTATGTTGATAATTCTGAGGCAACATTTGAAGAGAAAACAGTGCCATTGTAGAGTAGTCTTATCTGTCATGGGCAAGTGAAAGGGAAATTGGTTTTTACCATTATAAAGCCTGTGTTATAGACTAATGGTTTACATTATAGAGCAGTGGTTCTGAGTGGACCAAGGTGGAAGAGAGAAATTTAGATCATATATGGGTCTCTGAAGATGTCTCGGGGTGCCATAAATGAAAAAAGGAGGACAGGCTGGGGGAGGGAAGAAGCTAAGGATGTCTCAAAGAATTCTAACATGAAAGATGGCAAGGAAGGTGGTCCGCGTAACAAAGATAGAGAGCACAAACCATCAATTGTCATTTTGTAATATAGGTGTGAAATCATTAAATTCTTCACATCAATTCCTTGAAAGAAAAAAGATAAACCTGGGGATTGCTGATATTTCTTTTAATTTATTTTAATTCTATTAATCTATGGCTCTAGGACTTCTAACATGTTTACTGTAAAATTAAATAATTGAAATCTAAATCTTTATCTTCCACAGGCCATAATTCCAAATGACAGGCTATGACCTTTCAGGCTTTCCTGGTTTGTGCTTTTTTCTTTTCTTTTCTTTTTTTTTTTTTTTTGAGTGATTAAAAAATATTGAATGTTGAATGCATAAATGTAATTAGCTTTAATAGTGAATACTGAAAGCAAATGAAATGTATATCAAAAGAGAAATGACTAAATAAAATAGAGAAATAAGATGTGGTCTATTTGGATTATGGAATATCATACATTAATTGAAAGGAAAGATTTGGATCTGTGTATCAATATGTAAACATCATAAAAACATGTAGAGTAAAAGTAAATTGTAGAGCAATAGGTATAGTATGATACCTCTTACCTAGTAAAGAAAAACCTACAAGTAATACTATATGTGTTCTATGAAAAGTACACACAAACATGGATATTAAAGGACATGAATACTCAACTCATAAAGGATTATTCGTGACAACAGGAGTAAAGAACTAAAATTAGCAGTGCAAATTATTACTAGTAGATATAGTAAAGATACAGTACTTTCTCTCTAATGTAATAGTTTAAGAAATAATAAACACATATATTATTTAGGTTATTAAAAATAGAAATAAGGGGAAAATCAAACAGAAAAGCGTAACATGCAGAATAGTAGAGTAGCTATCAGGGCTGAAACTCCAAATGTGACATCGTCAATAACAAACCATTTAGCATGTAAACTCATTTATTCTCTGAGAACCAGTTTCCTACCTCAGCTAAAGCATAAGGACATCAGCCAAGAGGATCACCAAAGTTCGAAGTTTTCAGACATTGAGATGTTTTTGAATTGTTGATATTTCATAGGATAGTGAGCAAATAACCAATGATATTTAGCACAAATGTCAGAACGTCAGTGGGTGAGAAAGCACAGTGACCTAAACTGCCAGGACACTTCAATACTGTTTAGAGATTTACAAAGGTTAAGCTCCCCAAGTAACACATTTTGTTGGAATTCCAGAATAGAGAGCCTACCTGAGTTTTCCCGCTCAGGGCTCCTGAATCTGGTATCTAACTGCATGATCTAATTCCTCTAAATATCTTTGTGTGACAACACCCACGTTGGTATTTAACTCAAGATTTTCATGAAGATGACCACAGGATTTGTTGAAAATGAAAAAAAAAATCTACAATTTAGTCTCCAGATTTAAACATCAATCTAAAAACAATACACAATAGATTCTGGCAAGAGTCTCTGGTTTCTCCTCACCAGGAGGATTGATGGTAACTCTTGATGATAATGGCTAAGAAAAGAGCCTCTAGGCTGGTCTTATCTAGAGCTTCCTTCATATTTTCCATGTTGTTCTCCTATCTCCAAATCTACTCTGGGATATCCACTTTTGATGTAAAAGGTTTCCACTAAATCTTAGCCTTACATGAGAGTTTTGCTTGATTTCAACACTCATTTGCCAATGAACCATTGCAACCCTCAGTCTCTTACTTGAACATTCTATACCTAAAACATTCTTGCAAGAATGCTGATTCTGTGATGACCCCATTCCACTCCAGTGTCCATGGGAAGAATTTTAAAGTCACTTTGCTGGGATAAGTGTTTTTCCTATCTTGGGGTGAATATTGAAATACATTTTATCTTTGAACAATGAAATTGTTACCTCCTGTATGTAGCAGGCATTGATATCTCCATTCACCTCCTTTTAGGAATAGGCCTTCAGTTCAGCATATGGCCACCAAATTAGAAGTTACACATGGTGTCTTCCCTTGCAGCTAAATACAGCATGTGACTAATTTCAGGCCAATGGAATGCAAGTGTGATGTGTGCAGCTTCCAAGTTATTGCCCTAAAGGGAAGGTGTGTGCCCTTCGCTTCCTAATTCTTCATTCCAGTAACTAAAATATGATGATGAATCTTCTTCAGCCACATGGATGGAAGCAATACTTAGGAATGTCAGAGGAACAAGAGAGAGGTCGAATTACCAACACTTGGAACAACCCTGGTCTGCTTCTCTTCAGACTTACGTAAAATAGATTCATGGTCTATCTTGCTTAAGCCAGAGTTATTTTGGGTCTTGTCAGAGCTATGAAACAATGTACTAATGAATAGAATCTGGTACTTATAGTGGAATAACGGCATAACACAACTGAACAAATATGACACTGGCTTAATGATTAGGCAGTGAGTGGCCAGGACAAAAAAAATTCAGGCTAAAAATTGAATTGCAAAACATTTGATAAAAAATGCTTCTTTCATTTCCTATGGCTGTTCTATAACACTACCACAAATTTAATGGCTTAAACCAATGAAATTTATTACCTTACAGTTCTGGAGGTCAGAAACCCTACATGGCTCTTATGGAACTAAAGATTAAGTTGTTATCATGGCTAAGCTCTGTTCAGCAGGCTCTAGGAGAGACTTATTTCCTTCCTTTTTCCAGCTTCTAGGGATGCCTGCATTTCTTTGATCAGGGCCCCCTTCTCCATCTGCAAAGCCAGCAAGAGCAGGTCAAATCCTTCTCACTACAAATCACTTTGACCTCTTCTTTTGCCTCTTTCAACTACCTTTAATAATCAATGAAATTTTGATGCATCCACTTAGATAGTCCAGGATAAAGTCAACCATTCGATCTTAAAGTCAGCTGATGGTTAACCTTAATTGCATCTGCTACCTTAATTCCTCTTTGCCACATAAGGTATATATTCACAGGTTCTGGTGATTAGGGCACGGACATCTTTGGGCAAGTGTGGTAGGGGTTATTATTCTGCTTATCACAATGTCTCCTGTGATAACCTGGACATCAGAACCCGTGCTAACTGAGCCCACTTTAGGAATGTGTTGAATTTTTTCAGAATATCAGTGCAGGGTATTGTTGACCGCTTCTTGTCATTTTTAGCAAAGTCCTGTAAGAATGGGCTGAATCCCAGCTAGAGTCAGCCTACTTAAAAGTAGAGATGGAAGGAAATTCAGTTGCATCTTGGTAGGCATGTTTTTTTTTTTTTCTTTTACTTTTGGGGGTGGGGTGGGGTAGGGAAGGGTCTCGACAGTTGGAACCCTACAGGGTTGGAAAGTTAATAGCTTCTCTCTTCTGGTTATTCTGAAGAAGCAGCCTTAGCTGGAGAAAAGCCTATAGGCTAGGCTTTGCTCAAGTACTTCCCAGTAAGCGCTCTCTGCCAGACACAGAGCACGGAGGCACAAATTGGACTTAAGATCTTTTCTTCCCAACCAAATACATTTTTTAATGACCTCAGCTATCTTCAAAAAAAAAAAAAAAAAAAAAAAAAAAAAAAAAAAAGGTCAGAGTGAAAATGGGCAGCACACAGAGGACAGAAAACAAAAGATTGAAATATTCATGCTTAAGAAGTATGTTGGATGAGACCATTGGCTGTTATTACTGACCTATAGAATTGATTAGAAATAAATAGACCAGAAATTGACTAGGTTTTTAAGGAAATTATATATATACTGAATGAATGGGAAACCTAGCTGACCAAAGCCTGGTGTTGCTACACACCTAAAACACCTATAGGTCTTTGAACTTGCACCAACATAATGTGGTTTGGTCACCAGGAAGGATATCCTCTCCTGTGTCCACTTTAGATGTAATGAAGGGGGGATGGACAAGAAAAAATTTCCAGAGGGAGAAGCAAAGGGTTGGAGGAGGAGGGAGCAAGAGATGAGAGTAAGGCAAGTTAAGGCCCTGGCCTCAAGTACAAAATTTAAAGTAGTGCAAAAACAGTCCATAATCAAAATACTATTTTAATACAATATAGAATCAGAATCAGTACAAAACATCATGGATGAACAAAATAGCAAAATTTTTAATACTAACATGATCTATAGCAGTGCCATAGAAGTCATATCAGATCCTGAGACAAAAAGGAAAATCATCAATACAATCCTATCTTTATTAAACAGTGTTATATTGTTCACCATAGATTTATAGATCCTTTACATTCATTTTGTTTGTTTAAAATATATCATTAAAATTTTTTTTTTATTATCAAGTCTTTTTGTGCCCCCTCAACTTTTATGCCTGAGGCAAGAAACTCTCTGACCTCACTTGATGCTCTATGATCTGGGTCCTAGAGCAGACACAGACACGAATTCCAAAAGTTCTGCCCAGAGAATAACGACAGGGATGCCAGGTGAGCTAAAGAAGGGATTTACTCCATTGCTAAAGAAAGGAGTTGTTATGGGCTGAATTGTTCTCCTCACCCTCCGCCAAATTCCTATGTGGAAGCCTTAACCCCTAGTATCTCAGAATGGGACTCTGTATTTGGAGATAAGGCCCTTAAAGAGGTGGATAAGTTAAAATGAGGCCACTAGGGTAGGTCCTAATCCAAAGCGTCTGGTCTCCTTATTAGAAGAGGGAGAGACATTAGGGCCGTGCACAGAGGAAAAACCACAGGAGGACACAGCGAGTAGGTACCAAGCAGAGGCCACACCTGCTGCCACTGGGATTGTGGACTTCTAGCCTCCAGAACTGTGAGAAAGTTAAGTTATGTTGTTGAAGCCAGACAGTTTGTAGTATTTTGTTACGGCAGCTCTGGCAGACCTTGTACAGGAGCCTTTGTTATTCCTGTACATGAGCACTTGATCATTGTTATAAAGTGAGTGCTGCCTCTTCAGACCCTTCTTTCTAACTTGGAGGCTTTTTGACTTTTGTTTGTGTGTTTTAATTGCAACTATACAGCTCCTACTCTGCTGTTTTACACTGGGGAGAAGTCAAATAACTAGTTTTTTAGGTTATAGTTCCCTGAACTACAAGCAGCCACACCTAGTTCTAGTGAAAGTCTATGCGTCACCTGCAGATCTGGGCTTTGAGTTGGATGTAGTACCTGGCATGCGACCCTTGAGGAAGGGTAAGTGTGTTCTAGGGGCAAAAAGAAGGATACATAAGATTACTAGGGTAGCCAAAGGAACTGACTGGGACAGAATTACTATTGTCTCCAACATCTACTTTCTCTTTGTTCATTAGTAATTGAACCCCAAAATCTCAGCTGCACAGACGGCCATCCAGACAAAAACAAAACAAACAACAACAAAAACAAAAATCTTCAATGGGACTATATATTATTTTTGAGCCAGAGGAAATTAGTGGAAGAAATGTGTGCACCTGCAGATTCATGCCCTCAAAGGGAAGTGGTACATCCTCCCCTCTCTTTCTTCATCAGGCTGTTCCAAATGACGAGCCATTTTCAACCACAGATAAAGGCTGCACCCACTGAAACCACAGTTGTTTTTGTCACCCAATTTGCCCCAGCAAGTTTAGATAAGAACACATCATCAGGAAATATTCATGACTATGTCCCTAAATCTGCAACAAAATAAGCTAGATACTACTGTTCTCTGGATTTAATTTGAGCAATTTTGGAAATTCAAATTTTGTTGAATATAAAGTGATTAAACAGTTTGGGGGATTAGTTAGATTATCAGCTTAGTAACTGTAAGACAGCAAATAATAAGGGCTTCAGAAATCCAAAATCATTCTTTCTTCTCACATAGCATTTCAAGTATAAGTAGTGGGGTTTTGAGGGTGGCATCATAATATCTAGGGCAAAAGCCTCTCCCATTTTGTAACTTTGCCATACTAAATTTATATTTCTAGTCCTGACCCATCTCCTGAGCTTCAGGATCATTTATCCCGTTGCCTAATCAACGTCTCCACTTGCGTATCTGAAAAAGATCTCAAACTAATTTCTAAAACAGAATTCTTTCTTTTCTCCTCTAAACCATAGCTCCCCTGTCTTTCCCATGTCAGTAAATGCACTACTACTCATCTAGTTCATCAAACTCAATGGCTTAGACCAAAATTCTGGGAATTATGCAAGACAATTTTTTTGTCAGCTTGAAAATGTATCCCAAATCTGACCACTTCCCACCACCTTCACTGTTGTCCCTATTCTCTAGACCATTTTCCCCAAATTCTAAATTCAATTAGGAACAACCTAATTGTACTCCCTTTACTTTTAGATGGTACAGTTCATCCCCCACACAGAGGCTACAGTGTATTAATATTTTATTGCTCCTGTAACAAACTGCCACAAACTTTGTGGTTTAAACAATATAAATTCATCATCTTACTTTTTTGTAGGTCAGAAGTCCAACTTGACTCTCACTGGGCGAAAGCCTAAGGACTGGTTGGCTGCATTATTTTCTAGAGGTGCCAGTGTGGAATCCCTGCCCCAGCTTCTGCAGGCTGCCCACACTCCAGGGCTCATAGCCCCGTTCTTCCATCTTCAAAGCCAGTAATGGTGGACTGAGTTCTCCTCATATCACTCTGACCTCTCCCACCTTCTTCCACTTTTAAGGATCTTTGTGATTGCATTGGGAGCACCTGCAAAATCCAAAACAATCTCTTTAAGACTAGCTGATTAGCAACCTTACTTCCATCTGAAAGTTTCATTCCCCTTTGACATGTAATGTGATGCATTCACAGTTCCAGAGATTAGGGCATGGGCATTTTTGAAGGAATATTATTCTGCCTGTCATGCAGTGTAATTTTTTTTTTTTTTTGAGATGGAGTTTTGCTCTGTCACCCAGGCTGGCATGTAATGGTGCGATCTTGGCTCACCGCAACCTCCACCTCCCTGGTTCAAGTGATTCTCCTGCCTCAGCCTCCTGAGTAGCTGGGATTTCAGACATCCCCCCCCATGCCCAGCTAATTTTTTGTATTTTTAGTAGAGAGGGGTTTCACCATATTGACCAGGTTGGTCTTGAGCTTCTGACCTCAGGTGATCCACCCCCCTCAGCCTCCCAAAGTGCTGGGATTACAGGCGTGAGCCACCGCGCCTGGCCATGCAGTGTAATTTTTAAACATGTAAATCAGATCTTATTTCCCCCTCTCTTTTAGATCCTCCATTGCCTTTTCATCCACACCTGGAACAAAATCCAAAATCCCAGCAAATAGGCCTTTCACGAGCTGCCCACTTCTACTCTCTCATTCTATTCCCCATCACTGTCTCCCCATTCATTTCTATGCAGTCTCACCAATTTGATTGCTATTTCCCAGAATGCCAAGTTCATTCCCACCTCAGAGCCCTTGAATATTCTCTTTTTTCTGCCAGGAGCCTTTCCCCTAGATATCTCCATATGGTCCCCATCCTCACTTCATTCATGTCTCTACCCAAAGGGTCCTTCCTCAAAAATACCATCCCTGATCATTTTCTGTCACTGTCACTCATCATGTCTGGTGTCAGGCATTATGGTACCACCATATCAATCTTACTGTGAGTTATTGTTATTCAGTGATGGCATTATGAATTTATTTGTCCATTTATTCATTGTCTGTCTCTATCACCAGAATGTAAGCTCCATGAGGATAGGAAATTTGTTTTGTCTTTTTCTCTGTTTCATCTGCAGCACACAATGGGCATCCACACCAAATGAGTGAATAAAATGGTTGAATGTAAGGAAAAGTAGCCTATATACTCAACATTTTTACCTGGTCTCAAACATTGAAATAACCCAACACTCTTCTGCAAGAGATGAACCATTTAGATTCAGAACAATCTAGGCAGAATTCCACACTTAAGCCTCACTCTGTCCTATTTGCAATGCAATTGAAAGCCAGGGATTTGTTCCATTTTCTTCTTTGTGTGTCTTGGTTTTCAAATGAGGTGTTTAATTCCAGCCAGCATGCTAAGCATGTTCAGACTCTGTATTGAGCCTCCCGTTCCACCTTGGGGATTCTCACACAAAACAGGACAGCATTATTAATCCATTCTCTACAGATGCTGCAGTCGCACCTTGCAGATTGTCAAAGAGAAGTGACAGATGTGCAGTGCCTAGCAGCCTTGAAAGTCAACTTATGGGGTTCTGGAATTATGGCTTTCAGAAAAGTCATTATTGATCAAGTAAAGTTTCTAACTCAGAGAAAGTGATGGCTTGAGGAAAACAACATTGTTTCAGAATACAGCTGGCTTGATCTGGATTGTTCTTAACATTCTGAACCTAAGCTTCTCAATTGAAAATAAGTGTGTATGGAGAATCTGCCATGAACCAGAACTTAAGCCATGGACCACAGCATTCAAAACAGAAGGAAACACTGTCTTTGTTCTCTGGATTCTCACAGCCATGGCAGTGAAATTGTGGTTCACACTAAAGTCCACAGATGTGTCAAGAATGTGTCTCTTTAAAACTCAGAAAAATGGCCGTCTTCCAATCACCACTTAAAATATTACAGGTGGACTTTGACATTTGCTATAGAAAACAAGCAGAAAAAACAGCCACTATCAGAATTACTATTTTTTGTTCCATGATTATGGAGTAGGTTTGTGGAATGGGATTAAATTCCCTGATCATGTAAGCAACAAAGAAAATAATTGCAAAGGTTGTTGTCATCTGTACCTAGATTTAAAAAAAGCTTTCCATTCATACTAGTTTGATATTCTGTATTCTGGTCACTGAGTCTTGACTGAATGTATCTAAAACTCACCTCCTTTCCATTTTGACCTCTTCTCCTGGCACTTATCTTCCTCTTCAATCCTTAATGCCAACCTCAAGTCTTGGCCACTTTAGGGTTTCTGGTCACTTACAAATGACCACTATTTGAAACCTTGAACACAAGGTTTCTAAACCACTCAGCTGGCACACCAGTGGTGTAACTCCTGCCTGGCTTTCTGCCCACATCCTGCATAGAGAACCCTCTTCTGTTTCTCTCAGAATCACAGAATGACAGTCATAGAGATGGTGAAGTGAAACTGGGCATTCTTAGAGATTAGGCTAGCTTCAGATTCCTTCTGCTAGACACACTGACATTTTCTGAATAGCTAAAATTTGAGTTTTGAAGATAGGAAGAATTTTGTCTGAATCTTTTCAAAAGAAATCATGTGCTACTGCACATGGTAGGAGCTTGTTTTATTAAAGAAAATGTGATTAAGATACTTTGGAAGATAACTAAATTAAATGACAAAAGCAATTGATTCATTTTTCACCCTGGAAACCTATTTCTGAGTATTCTATGTAGGTCTCAAATCAAGAAAAATATATTTGACATCAGTGTTTCCACAGGATAGATGAAAAACATAGATGAATAGATAGATGATGTTGTTGATGATGAAGATAGATTAGATAGATAGATAGATAGACAGACAGACAGACAGACAGACAGATAGATAGATAGATAGATAACTGAACTCTATAAGAAAGTCTGTAAGAAGACAGGAACGTTAACCAAGAGGACATATATCCAGTCCACCTAAGGCAATTCTCAGTTTGCCTTCTCTGAAAGAAATGAGATAGTAAAACACTAAGAAAATCTTTAAAAGGAAGAGCTGATCCTTTACATTGTTTTTGGCAATAAAAACAGTGAGCTTTCAGAGATTAACAAGAAAGCCAAGCAATGCCCTGAAGTTCCAGGTCACTAGAAGATGCTGACTTAGACATGATCATATTAGTGCTTTGTTCAGGGACTTCCAAGTGAGTGCACATACAACTGATATCTTCAAAATTCAGTCTTTTAAATAAGCATTGCTTAAAAGCAATATCTTAACCCATTTTAATTTTTTTTTCTTAATCATTTGCATCTCTATGTTCTCCTGGTAAAAGAAGTGTGGTGGCCCTAAAGCAAATATGTTTTGCAGCTTTTGTGTTTGGAGAAGGTGGAAGGAGAGCAAGGAAGCTGGTGTTTACTAAGTTTTTCCTATGTACCAATTATTTCACATATATTAATAGATTTCATCCTTACTAGTATCCAGTGTTTGTCTAATAATCTAACTGTAGAAATAAGAAGCCTGAAACTCAGTGAGTTTTCAAATCACATGGCTGGGGTTTGAACTCAGGTATGTCTGACTCTTGAGGTCACACTCTTACTAATATACTGGCTGCTGAAGAACTTTAGGTTTAAAGAAAGGGAAAAGGAAAATTACAGGGAGAGGGAAAGAATAGAGCTGCAGTCAAACTCCATGTGTGCCAGGTCTCATAGTTCAAAGGCATAGCAGCATAAGACCACCTGCCTGGCCTGTAGTGGAGTGCAGGTAGTAGGTAGACATAAGGAATCTTGACATACAAAGGGCTTTGGTGATCAGTGAGCTCAGAACCTTTATCTTAGAGTTAAGGAAACCGAAACTGAGAAAGCTCCTTGTCCAAGGTTATACTTGACTTTTGACAATTTGTCAACATCAGAGCTAAGCCTAGAACCCATAAATCTTCATTCTTAGCTAAACTCATTCCATTATTCCATTCATTCTACTTGAGAAGGAATTCTTAGACATGGGACCTGCAATAATTTCCTACGGAGATCAAAATCAAGTGCAGAAGAAAAGACCTGAGCCTGTGACCTGAGACTACTCAGAAATCCTAACATTTATTCAAAGTAATGAGTCCTTTGAAGAGACTCTTTCTTATTACAGTAAAGCATAAATTTAAATTGCAACCAAAAGAAAATAATTTCACCCTTAATCCCAAATTTATCTTCTTTGCATAAAGAGCATGGATTAAGAAACAGTATTTACTTGCTGTGTTGCCTTAAGTCACTAAACTTCTCTGAGTTGCATTTTAATTATCTATAAAACGAAGATAGTAATAATACAGAGGTTCCTCATTATATCAATTTTATTATCTGAGTCTGCACCATAATGAGACTGCACAAGAAATCAAAAGCCATCATAACATGAAAATATCCTCTAATGCTCTAATGAGTTGCTCATTTATGAAATTAGTCTGCTCTCCACATCCCTTCTCTTTTAAGATTTGTATTTATCTCTAACCATTAAATCAATGCCTTTGATCATTAGTCTATAAATATCTTGCAAATCCTTTGGCAAGCAAAACCATAAATCTCAGAAAAGTTTCAGACTCTCAAGCAGTGAATGAGAGCAGTGCTGGAGAACAGTGCAAAGTCACACACAAAGCAATGGACATGGAAGGATATCTGGCCTAGTTAGCACCTCAAAACCACAGAAGAGAGAAAAGGTAAGGTTGGTGACAGGGCAGGAATTTTAAAGAAAAAATATTTGAATATCAACATAACAATAAAAGTCTTTGGAAAAGCTGATTAAACCTTGACTATTTCTCAAAAGTGACCTTTGATGATTCTTTGCAAGTTAATAACATAAAAGGATGTTGCATTTTGTTCTCATTTATAGGTTTTGCCAGAAATCATGGTTTTTTTAAAAAAATGAACTCCATTATTTTCAGTAAATGTGTCTCATTGTCATTATAACCAAAATTATTACATTTATGAAAAATGTAGTATTTTTATTGCCTTTACTTTTTAAAGATCAAGTCTCAATTGAATCCTTTTTCCCTTATATACTATGAAATTTTTGTTGCAGCTTTAAGTGACTTTTTGTAGTGAATAATTACCCTTGCATAATAAGGCTCTCTTTTATCTGT